GATATCCATGCAGGCTACTAAAACATTACTGGTTGGGCATCATTGTTGCCAAGTTCATCACAGGATACTATAGAAACGTGGAGTTCCACTTTTTTTATAGCAACCAAGTTAACAGTAATCTGATATGGTGGAGCAATTTCACTTGCTCTGGTTTGAGTCAGCTGTTAAGTGCAAATTGATTCATGGCAAAAAAATCTGGCTCTTGTGAAATAATCTTTGGGTGTTTTTAGGGATAGGCTGCCCCTCTCAGGGCTGATACTGTTTACGAACATGTAAAATTGCTAACAGCTGTTCACACTGAGCACATTTGTGCCTCACTTGCACGTATTCACAAAGGTTTGTGGAAAGCTGCTCCATTTGCTTTGTTATTTGCCTTTACTCTCCAGCTTAAGGATCTCCCACATCATCCGTTTGCAGAGGAGAAACTTCACGCAGCAGAGGCTCTGAACAGTCATCAGCAAGTTAGCACATGTTAAAAAGTTACTAGCCAGACTCAACAGAGATGTCTGACCACATTCAAGCTCCTAAACCCATGCAAATTCAGAGGAAAGAAAACATTCAAACAAGCCCATTCAAGTAGTCAACCATACAAAACATGCAGCAAATAATACTGAAGAACTCCCCTACTGTAAAGCCAACGTAACCAGCCTCGGCACTCAAACCAGAAAGAGTTTAAAAAATACTGGGCAAGAGGTTAACAGTTTGTCAGGCAGAGTAGCAGGAACAACTAACAGGACAAGTGGCTGCCTTTGCAGTAGCTGGCATGGGGGTATTACTCACTGCAAACCTGCAAAAGGGTTTTTTAGTTAGAAGGTCATAAAAATCTTCCAGCACTCAGTCTGACTCTGGCAAGTTCACCATCAGTTATAAAAATAACACATATTCACTAAGCATAAAAGAAAGAAATCACTTTGGCTTCACAGCCACTGATGGACTTTAAATCCTGAAGTCATTCTGTACTTTTAGCATTTCACAGACAGGAGTGCATGAATTTTACGTTTCCCCAAAATAAGCTCTGAACTATATAAATATTGCAGATGAATAGGGTGCATTTGGCCTCCAGTTTGCTTTTTGGATGTAGCTTTCAGGTTACAGAGTTTGGGGATTGCTTGCAGGTTGTAGGGGAGACGCAATGGCAATCTGGCACAGGGACCTCCTCCAGCTCTCGCACAATGCAGGACAACAGATTAAAGGGGTTTTTCTCCCCAGTCACCCTGGGACATTTGTAAAGCATCTGCTTCCATTTAAGAAGCTGTGCTTCCACTAGAGCTGCTGGTTTTCATTTTGTTCCCACTACAATGGTGACAAAAACTTCTTGGTCAGGCAAAATAAGCTTGGGAAGGGAAAAGAAAAAGAAAGCAGCAGTAAAGAGGAAAAGAAGAGCAGATAGCCATGCTCTAGCTGTGCCCAAAAGGGTCCAGAAGCAGCTGGAACACTGCAGGACCAACCTAAGGGCGACATCCCATCGAGCAGTTACTTCACACGTGTGTTTCTCCTTCAGTGACCACTTCAGAACTAACTGGGGCTTTCTTCTTTTTAGAAGAAACATTTCATTTTTATAGGAGAAAAAAGTATAGACAAAAAATATCTTTTCTAAAAAACCTATTCAGAACCAATCTGACTTGAGTGCTTTTTTGTTGTGAAAGTATAGGTTAGTAATATCCATAACATCAGATACACACCTATATATTAACATAATTCAAATCTAACAAATTAAAGAACACTCATACCATAGTAGAAATAAAATGAGAAGCAATAAAAGCCTTAAAGATTTCTTTCTAAATACTTAGGAGTAAGATATAAATATTGTAGCCAAAATGCACAAATGCAGCAATTCACAAAGCCTCAGTCACAAAACTCGTCCAACTAGAAGAGTCAGCTCCACTTTAACTGCACAGCAAAGTGCCTATGGACGTAAATGCTAATAACTGGGACTAACTTCCCCTTTTCTACTCACTTTTGCTCCTGAACACTATTTTTACAGTTTTTTAACAACTATGCATGCCCATACTTACACGTTGGGGATTTTCAGAAGTCAAACTGTGGAGATAAGGGTGCATGCTGGCATGTTCCAGGTCCTTGTGGTAAGGACAGCATCAAGGCAAACAGCAAAGGGTAAAAGTCAAGGAGTTTGGGTTTCCTGTTTCTTTCTAGACCTGTCTTTTGCACATCACCCTCCATCAGCTCAGCAAAATGAAAAGCTTAGGACAACCACAGCAATCAATTTTCATCTCAAACATCCTCACATTACTTACAGTTTTAAAATCAACAGATTGAAATCGTCTGGGTTTCCCAAAAGTTACAGCATGTAAATAAGATGTGCATAAAAATTACGAACTGGATAAAAAGAAAAACAAATGCTAAAACACCCGGCCCCAGAAGAATAAAGCTATGGCTGTATACATAAAAGAAAGCAAGACTTATCTTTACCTTTGTACACAAAGAACCACAATCTAGAAATTAAGCAATGGTATCAGAGCAAAAGGGTGTCAAAATATTAAAATTAAAACTCCCACTAAAGTGGCAGCCAAGAGACATCGAAGATCCCAGGAAACACTTTTTTCTATGAACTGGAAGTGACACAGCATCTCTCTCCCACCAGTAAGGCATGACATAATCTAAAACAGCTTCTATGAACACAAGACAGCATCCTTCGACAAAACTTCAGCCTTTTGAATAGTTATTTGCAAGCTCAGCAGGCTCCAAATATGTTTAATTAAATTTTAAAAAGTACTCGCAGCTGTAAGCTTAGCCCAGAGTGGAAAACTGCAGCAAGATCTCCCTCCTTCAGAGGCTTTGTAAACAGTGCCAAAACTATTAGTTGAAAGAAAAATCTATATAAAGCTATTATTAAAAGTGCTACATCACAGGATGGCTGGAACAGCTAAGGAAATGGTCAAGGAGGAAGGATTATTTCCTGGCACAGTAAAGTAGCAAAGAAGTGAGTTCTCTCTTCCTTTTTAAGCTTTAACAATGTTGTGCAAAAAATAAAGCTGAGGTTCATCTGTTTAACAGATGAACAATTCTCAACAGCAACAGGCATTGTTCCTAGATATACTCCCAAAACTGAATCCAGCAAAAGCACATTTAGGAAGAAACTGCAGGCCAAATTCAGCTCCTGTTCACCTAGGGTACCACCTCACCAAACCCCATGCTCAATCACACAGGAGTAAGGATGCAGCTGCACTGAAGGCAGCCAAATTAACCAGCGTAAGCAAGATCACCATCGGCCTACCCAAGCAAGACTGCACTAGAGCAGACCCAGGCTGCGCGTGTAATTTAAATCACTGTCCTGATTTTGGATAAGCCCCAGACATTTCAAATAATTACAGTGCAGCCAGAGACAACGCTCAGTGTCAGGTATAGTATTTTTGTGCACTGCTTTCTAAAGCGATGAAGTTCTCAAGCCATCAGCTTCACTAACGCCTTGGTCCCACGACTCTCTTGCTAATGCTAAAATCTGGTGTGAGTGTTTTGGCTTACATGCAAATACTTGAGCACTACATGATCTCTGTGGTTCACTGTAGCTCATTAGACGGTAACTTGTTCACTGCAAGATGAGACTTTTGAGTAGATAAAACAAAGTTCCCAGCAGCAGTACAATTAAAGCTCTCGACCATCTAGAGTAGCATCTTCTCTTGAGATTCCCCTTGAAACTTAGTGCCAAACCTAAGTAATTTTGAAAGGAAAATTCACCCAGGATGGAAATGTGACAGGAAAGCAAGCACAGTAGAATCCACAGCTGCTCCGACACTGGGAGAAAAGTGAATTCAAATCAGCCAGCCCATCCCAAATAAGATGAAGTGGGGTTTTCTGCACTTAAAACGCTTCAGGCTGTTTATCACCAATAGAGGCTGCTCACAAGCAATTTTAAGACTCTAGAAGTTTAAACAAAAATAGAAACCATTGAAGTAGCGGTATCTTTGATCATGAAAAAACACTGATTGGTGCCAATCCACCAAGATTTAAAAATAAAAACACTTTCAAAGCTGTAGGTCCAAGTCTTTTCACTGTCAACCATATCCACTGTGTTTGAGGTGGTCTTTTTTGTTTCCCCAGCACTATAAAACTGGTCTGAGCACGGAAAAGTTGATGTCCTCACTTTGGTGCAAAAAGAGCGATTATGAGAGGAGGCAGCAGCTGCTGCCCATGAACAAGGGGGCTGAGGCAAAGAACAAGCCCTAAGTGCACCCTCACACAAAGCTACTGAAAGCAAAGCAAGAGTTTTAAGTCTATCAACTAGGCTAGAACAAGTGTAGTCAGTGTCATGCCAAAACTGAAGATTCAATTCTTTGTGTCTTTTGGAAACCTCCTGCTATTAGTTTCTCTCAGGTCAGCAAAAGGAGTCAGCCCATGGAAAAATTCTGGTCAGCAGATTTGAAGCAAAAGAGGGTGCAGGACTGCACAAATTTGACCTGGGGAGCAGGAATCTGTGCAAGGCACCCCACTCAGGAACAGTCCACTATTACACCAGCTCTGCAGCCTCTGGAAACGCAGCCTGCAGTGGAAATCCTACATCTGTGCCTAAGAGATGACAATTTGGTACAGTGCAGCAGGCATCTCTAACATAACTGTTTGTGGACATGGTTTTATAAAATTTGTGGATCATTGTCGGAGAAAATGCCAGAGAGTTTGTCCAATGAAAAACTTGAAACACACAAACAACAAAAACCAAATAACAGAAACAGATTTACAGAGCATAAACACAGTTAAATATACTAAAAGCAAGATATTACTAATATTATTTGTACTGCTTTACGCTTACAGTTCTAGCAACTGATTTCAAACAAAATCTTACGAGGTAAATAAGAGGTTTACTTCTAAAAGAAGCCCACCACATCAGACAGCTCTAATGGATGCTGGGAGTGCATCTACCGGCCACATCTGGTGCCCTTAGATACACAAGTGTCACTGGATCCTCTCTTCGAGCGTTTTCATGAGGAGAAGATGAGATGCAAGCAGCAATGTTTGTTCTGTGCACTGTGCAGACGTAAACTCACCAGGTCCGAGAACCGCAAGATTGTAACCGCACTTCCACTTGGATTTACGATACATAATCAAGAGCCGCGCTCGCAGCGAGCAAGTGACCTGCTGGTGACGGTGCTGTCAACAACGGTTCAGATCAGTTAGCTGCTAGTGGAGACACGACAACATTTTTCAACGCTGTGAGAAAAAGCAAGAGTGAGACCAGATGGTTAAGCCCCATCCACATTAGCACCAGCATGGCTAACACCACCAATTGCGATTTGTCCACTGGGGAAGGTACCTGTTGGCCACAGCCACTCTAAGCAGTGTTTCTCAGAGATTTATCAGTGCTGGCTCAGTGTCTAGGAGAATAAACACACTCTGAGAAAAGCAATTTTTCAGTTAATAGCATGTCTTTCAACACAGCATATGCCTGTGTGCAATCAATGTTCCTAGTGCGGAGCAGATCGAGTACTTGGTTGCCTGAAATGATTCATCGAGTTACCAGTCAGGCCATTTCATCATCATGTTCTGCTGAAACCTGGAAACTCTACTCTGTAATTACCTGAGGCAAGCGTAAGTTTTACGTTTACACAAGATTGACAACTGCAGGTAAGTACTGTCAGCAGACACCTTGGTGTGGATGCTACTCGAGATCACACAAAAAGGGATGGAACAGTTAGATTTAACTTGAAACTCCTATAAGTAGCAAGGAAAAGGGGGAGAGGAGTGGCTTGGACCAGATGACCTCCTGAGGTCCTTTCCAAAGTGTGTTATTCTACAATTTCATTGACAAACTGACACTTAGTCATCTATATTCTTCACTTCGGGGCTGATTTTTGTTTTCTTTATATTCACTCTTCTATTCAACCTTAGTATTTTATTATGCTCTGCTAGGTAACAAAAGGTCCATTCATCAGCAAAAGGAAACTTTTAGATTAGTGTCCGTATTAAAAATCAATATTTAGTTTATATGAAGGATGTGCGAAAATTCAGCATGAAAACAAGCATGGCACTGCAAGAAACTTTAAATTCTGCCCCAGTTTCACAAGCAATCTTGAAACAGCCCTTTATTCCATCTTACCAGGTTCAGTCATCTCCTCTAAATTTTTCCATAGGGTAATTACACTATCACAGCTTTTACCATGGTAAAAACTATCAAAACACTCTTGGGAACCAAAAATAATGCACAGTTTGTCTACTAACATCAATACAAGATACTTTGCTAGCAAGCCGCTGTAATAAAACTTTCTGTTGGGATATATATTCTTGCAAACTAGTCATTGGACTGCATGGTGAGAAGACATCTCCTAGCACTGTGTGGCAAATAAGCTGCAGAAATGGGAAGAGGCCACAGCTGATTCCAGCACATGGGTATTAAATTGGGATGAACGGACAAAAGAAAGACAGAAGAACACAGTTTCTGAATCTTTAGGATGCTCCACGAATATTAAAGCAGACATCATGCTTCCAAAGACCAACCATCTTTCTTAAATTAAATTTGAACTATGCCCGAGACTGGACAAGTGAACTTGAAAGTAAAGATGTGTTCAATTCTTAGGCATAAGGGTCAGGCCAAGCAAAAAACACTCGGTGCCCAGCGTAAGCCCATAACAAAGGCTAACCAGAAATCCCTATATATTTAACTTGCAATAACCAATATTCATAGGGATGGGGGAAATTCCTGCAATTTTTAAGTCTCTCTGTATCAAGAAACCCTTTTACTCCCCATTTGGGCACCTCTTCGAAGAGCTGAGCGACTTGACTCTGGCATCACCAGCAGAAGGTGACAGTGCAAAGCAGAAATCAGAACAGCCTAACGTTTAATGAAAAGAGGGGCAGACCGACTAGTAAAAAGTGAAGCTCTGTTTTTATGGCTGTGAGCCACCTGGCCTCGAGTCATGCTCATGCACAGCTACTTGGCCCCGCAGGGGTGAAAATAAAAGACGAGCAGCCAAAATACGAAGGCAGCAGATACAGCTGTGAGGCAGGGATCAGCCGACCTGCTGCCTGTTCTGCTACGCACAGCCCAGCGCACGCTCAACGGCCGCTTGAACCGTGCCCTATTCTCTCTCTCCGTCACTTCCTTCCTCTCTTTGTCTATCTGCTACGACTTCTACTTGCACCCCACTTCTTCCCTTGCCTTTTCCCCTTCAGAGGTCAAGGTCTTACAGACCGACTTGTGTTTGCACAGCGTACAAGCCCTGCAAAATAGAAGCCTGCTGAATTCTTAGCACTGTAAGAAATAAAATTAGCTGATCCTGTCTCAGGTATTTATGAGATTCAAGTCGCCCAAAAGGTATTTGAGGGACTTGGTCTGCAAAACTCCCCTTAGTCACAGCATACTCGGCAGTATGAGACAGGCGTTCGCAGATAAATCAGCACACTGAATTATCTTCTGTAAATTGAAAGCCTGGCCACTGCAGGTCTGATACACAACTCTCACATAAGCAGACTCTAGCAACACAAATAAAGACTGTCAAGATCATTCCTGCAAACCCACAGGGAAAAGAAATTAAAATAATAGTTTGGATGGAAGAGCTCTAAGAAAAATCAATAATGGTAGCTGTAAAATCTAAAATTAAAGTGGGTCTGGTTTTGATGCTTTCAGTACACACAGTACATTAAATTTGGCACAAGCCCAATGGAACACGAAGTACTTGTGGACAATGTCTGCCAAGAGCTAGAAATATAGCACTTACTCTTTAAAGAGCCGAGAAGCCAGACAGTTTCTGCTTGTGCATCGGAACAAAAGTCAAATCAAGGTGATCTTTCCGAGGGTATGCTCGTATCAAGCCTGATGGGCATGCCTTGGGAAATACCGAATTGAGCATGTGCCCACTGGCAGCAAGTCAACATTTGTCATCTTCTAATCTGTTCCACTTGTGACAAAGGTTACGAGCAGATGTAACACCTCCCCACATTCGAAAACACTCAGCTGGCTTCCTCATCATCAGGCTCGTGTCTCAGAAAAGTTGTGACATGACCAATCTCTTGGTCATCTTAGGAAATACTTTGAAAAAACTGATGCAATAGAGGAGAGAAATGGAAAATTCAAGCTTATAGAATTCACACTGGCTGCACTATCAACTTATTCTCTCAGTTTCACATTTTTTGGTGCTTCATTAGTTTACATACTTTAAAGTATTGGTAAGTAAGGATATGTAATACCATTTTGCATTTCTACAGCAGCCTCCAAAAGTTAGCAAATTAAGTGTCAACGCACCTGGGAGCTCCTCACTCTCAGTAAAATAAGACAGGAAAACAGGCCCAAAACCCAAATTGCATTATTAATTCTTGCTCCTGTGGACTCAGAAAGCCTGAAAGACACCAATACTGGCTACACATGCCCATCAATGAGATAAACTCTTCACTTCTCCCCTCAACTGTTCCCTCCTGGCTGTAAACTAAAAGTAAACCCTTCATCTTCTGGAACAGGCTATCTCTGCTTCTGCTCAGACACTTCATGAGCTCCACTCCAAAGCTACATGGGCAAACAAAAATGCAAGGAAACTGCTTGTAATACTGTCCCTCTATATGCAGGAATGTCCCCTGTCCCCCATTTTATTACAGCATTCTCATGGTTCTAACAGCAACACTTACCAATCCCTGCTCCGTGCTCCCTAACAGTATTTTCATTTGGTACTGCATGTGGGTATGCAGTGCTGACACAATTGATGTGGGCTAGCAGCCGCACGGCAATTACCTTATTTAAAAAGGTCAAAGGCCTAGTATGATGGTTCCTCCTACCACAGGAATCAAAAGGGGACAACTGGACCATGAAAGTCAAAGCACGATGGAGGGATCCAACTGCCAACTAACACGCACTGCGATAGGAGCTGGCTCTGCCAACGCAGAGCGTGCAGCGCATCGTTATACAATTGCTCTCCATCTCAGGGATCTGGGGACAGCAGATTGGACCAGAAGTGCCATCCTCACCTGAAGTGTCAGCACCACCACCCCAAAATTGCTTAAATTATCACATGGGAAATGAAAAAGAGCAATGAAAGACCAAAGGGCCTACTTGGTGGCCTTCTGATTCTCTGCACTACATAGCAGAAAAACTAAAAATCAATCAATAAATAAATAAACAAACCCTTCAGTCATTCACAGACAATACCAATTTCCAGTGCAAGAATAAGCTGAAACCATTTTCTGGCTAAAAACAAAGGGAATTCCATAAGCTTGATAATAAGCACGAAAATAGTGAGAACAGCAAACAGTTTCCTCTATGTGATTAAATCTCCCCATTTCCGTCAGAAGCCAGGTTTTGACATCATTAGTAGCATGTTACATTCTCTTCTCAAAACTCCAGGGCAACACAAAGCACCAGAAAGGAGGTACATTTCAGAGAAAAACCATACCCTACTTGAGATGCTAAGGGTTGAGGTCCTTGTATTCTCCATCGCTTTACAAACCAAATCTTCCATTAGCCATTACAATACAGCAATGATCAAGTACAGCAACTCAAATGCATGCATTTTCTTCCATTTTAAGCATTCCTCAGAGTATTTTAAGTAGTTCAGGGAAAAGGCAAACTACAGCCAAACAAAGAAAAAAATACAAGGGGGGAAAGAGCGGAACTGACATATTTTTAGAATTAGCAGTTTATCCCAAGAGGTGCATTACAGAAGGCAAATGAGCAACAAGTTCTCTAAAAGGAAGTAAATTACTTGATAGTAAAGCCTCCATGTGTAACGTATCTCAGATTTTCAGCTCTAACCTCACAATAAGTAAATACTTCAACTGCATGATATGACAAAAGAAACATGAATATTTTCTCAGTTGAACTTTGCGAGAACCCTCTACTAATATTTACTCTTGTAAAAAATTGTGTAGTGAAATGTAAGTGGCTATGATTAGCAGAAAGGATATCAAGGTAGCATCAGACAACTATGCAGTATACATATTAACACTTAAGAGAAGAGGAGCCTTGAGATTTCTTAGGAGTTCTTCAGAGACCACTTCCATAATTTAATATGAACAAAATTTCTTAGAATAACAAAAATACAGATGAAACACTCAAGTTTACAAGAAAATAAAGACTTTATTATTTACTATTCCTGACCTTCAAAAGCAGAGGCAACTCGCGACAGACAAAGTGAAAGATTCTGGGGGAGATTTACAACTGTCGGAGAAGTGTGATCTTAACACAAGAAAGGGACCTACAAATGCATTCTCCTAAACT